AATCTTGTGAAATCTTAATTCTCGGATTTCGAATGAGATTTCATATGATTAATTTTTTCCTTTAAAATCCAACATGTTTTAAAAAGTCTTATCAAATCTTAGTCTCAAATAAGTTGAAATATCTCATATTTTTGTAAGATTTTTTAAAATCTCGAAAGAATGTCTCAAACTTTTGAAAGTCTTCAAAATTTTAAATCAAATACACCAAGATTTTTGAAGTTGTAAAAAAGTCTTTCTAATTCAAACGAATACACCCCCTTAGCTAGTCAATCCCAGCTCGTTTTTTAGTCTTAATGAGCCAAAATCACGATCAACTAGTTTTATTCTAAATTTTTTAAGTCTAAACAAAGGGAATTAATTGCTATTGACATAAGAATTTGTGTTCTATAGTCTCTACATACATACATAAATACAAATATATATAAAATTTATTCTTTTTCTTAAAAAAAGAAAAGGTACAAATTTAATTTACTTGGCCTGATTATGTTGAGAGTTGAGACACATGACCAGTGTGTGTAGACAGACAGCATACAGATAACATATCAAAACACACACACACACACACACACACACACACACACACGTTATTTTTATGCCTTCACAGTTTTTAACTTTATCAGTAAATAATAATAACTCAATCTTAAACAAAGTACCACTATCAAAACCCCACATTATAAAGGCTACGCTTTTCCAATTTTGTTTCGTCAATTTGGTGTGCTTTCAACATGGTGGTTGACATGAAGAAGCCGGTTTTGCTCCGGCCACCGGCGGCGGAGGGGCGGCGGCGCCGGCAAGTGAAGACTTTCCTAGATCCGCCGCGTGAAGATAATTTTGGAGGGAATACGGTGGTGGGTTTGTTTTTCAGGATGTTTTTTCAGTTGGGTTGTCTTCAAAATCGAGTCTTTTTAAATGGGGCTTAGGCTATTTCGGCATTTCAGCTGCGGTGGTGTCTGGCGGCGGTGTGGCGGAGGTGTGGTGATATTGGCGGGACGGCTCAATCTTATGATATTATTATTTATTTATTTTATGATATTATTGTGCCTTTGGAGTTTGATTATTTCTGCTAACTCTTCCTTGACTCAGTTCTTAATTTCTAGCTAATTGTTAATTAATACATATTTGATATTTTTATGGAATCATTTTTATATATTTTTCTTTTTTTCCTTTGCATATCTTGGGTATGTTTCTCAGGGTGTTCTTACAATTCTTATGTTGTTGCGAAGAATTATAATAATAATTAAAAAAAAAAAAAAAAAAAAGAATTTACTCAACAGCCATATGAATTTATATGAAATAATTACCTATATATGAATTTCCTCATGATTGTATAATAATTTATATTTATTCAATCAAAAAAATTATAGTATGAAATAATTACCTATATATGAATTTACTCATGATTGTATAATAATTTATATGCTGAGATGATGTTGTTAGAGCTCTTACAAATTCCAATTTACAAATTCCAATCATTATTCTTCTCTCCTTTTCAAATTCCATATGATTGCATTTGCATGTGCAGACACCAGTAAATGTAAAACGAGTTAACATGAATCTTGCAAATAGAGTGGAATTTCTTATGTTTTTTTTTTTTTTT